TCTTCCTCTCTCTCTCATGCATGTGCTTCATCATGAATAAGGCAAACAAACAAAAACCAAAACTTGGGCTATTCTGATTTTAGTTATGTAAAATAGTTTTTTTAAGAACAGCACTTGGGGCCAGCGGTTAGCATAATGATAAAGGTGCTGGACTCTTACATAGCTGACCCAATCCCGGATTTGGTGGCTTGAAGATCACACTGGGAACACGTGTGTATGTGCCCAAAATCCCAAGAGGAAACCAGAGGAGAAGGGATGGTCCTGTGGCTGTCCCCCCGGAGGGTGATTTCTCACTTTCCTTCTGTTTGTCTGTCTGTCTGTCTGTCTGTCTGTCTGTCGCTCTGGCTCATGCATGCGCCCTAGGACAAAAACCTAAAATAAATGAATAAACTTGACATATTCTTCTTAAATGCACTTTTCAGGTAGCTGTACTTGAGGATAGGTGTTACCTATAAATCATTTAACTCCTTTCCTTAGACCACACCCCTGGGCCTGTCTCCCATCCTCGCTGTAAAGAGAATGAGTTTTTTCAAAATATAAGTAATAGAAAGGCATCTAAAATGTAGGGACTTAATTTAACCCCATGTAAGTTTGATAAAAACTTAATAAGCAACTGCCCTCACCCTGCCCCATCCTAGCTCACTTGGACCCCAGGACCCTGATAGTCTTACCTGGACAAGCGTCCCCTCCCCGAGCTCGAATCCTGAAGGTGGTGGCTTTCTCCTGGCCAGAATTCCTGCCTTCATCCCAAGCCTTCTGTTTCCAGGACTCTGAGTCAGAAGCACAGGTTGTTACATCAGCTCACCCAACAACTCACAACTATCTTCCCAAACCCAGTACAGCATATTTTGTTCTTAGGGACAATCCCACTTCTCACTCTCCAGTTCTCAAAGAATCCATTTCTTTCTCTCCTCTTTCTCAGCCTCTTTCTCAGGTTGCTTGGATTAATAGTCAAACTATATTTCTTTATTTCAAGACGGGGTGTCGCTGTCGTGATCCTCCTGCCTCAGCCTCCCAGCTGGATGACAGGTGCACACCCACCAGCCCGGCTCTTTTTTAGATGGGGTCTCATCTCTTGGCCAGCCCAGCCTTGAGCTCACATTTCTCCTGCCTTGGCCTCCGCGCCACTAGGACCACAGGTGCTTGCCACCATACCCGGCCTTCAAGTGGCACCAGGAATCGAACCCATGAGCCTCCCATGTGGTCTGAGCCTTTGGAGCACAATATCCATGCAGCATGTGCTGCTTAGGCTGGGCCTTTAAGCCATGTTGGAATTCATATTGATCTATTCTTTTAGCCAAATTAGTGGCAGGGCCAATGGATGGAGGAGATAAAGAAACAGATTTGAATTCAGCATGAGGAACATTTTGAGTCATAGCCAATATACGGAATCAGCCTAAGTCCATCAAAAATGAATGGGCAAGGAGAATGTCGTACACACGCACAATGGAATACTACGAAGCCATTCAAAAGCAGGAAATCTTGTCACTTGAGGTTAAATGGGGGAGCCTGGAGCACTTAGTGTTCAGTGAAATAAACCAGACACAGAAAGAGAAATACACATGTTCCTATTGTGTGGAAACTGAAGAAAACTGACTTCATAGAGGTGGGAGATGAAGAAAGACCGCAGAGGCTGGGAAGGATCAGGGCAAGAGAGGGGCTTGATTAATGGAAACAAATTTACAGATAGAGGAGGGGGACCATAGTTAGCGCTGCGAAGTACAGTAGGGTGAGTATAACGAACAGTATTTGCCATAAGTCTCAGCTTCGCTGAAACAGAGGATTTTGAACATTTCAACACCAAATAATGACAAGTGGTGGAGATGATCGATGTGCTAATGACCCTGACTTAATCGCTACATGTCGTGTTATTGTCCTGGGCAATCGCATTGGACCCACAAATATGTACCCCTATTAATACTGTGTTAATCAAAATAAATTTAACAGAAAGGTAATAAAATTAGTATTTCATAGAGGCAAAATAGAAGTGTTTTATTAGACAAAAAAAAAAAATAAGTTCCTACGTATGTATTATTAAAACCGACCATTATGGGGGCTAGCAGTTGCCGTGGTGGTTAAGATTCTGGATTCTCATATGGCCAACTGCAGTTCAAGTCCGAGACCTGGTGGCTTGGAAACCACTGAGGGCATGTGTGCACGCATGCTCTAAGTGAGGAGAATGGAGGAGAAGGGGGTTGCAGCATGACCATCTCCCTGGGGGTCAATTTCTCACTTTTTCCTCTCTGTCTCTCTTCAGAAATTGCATTCACCCTGTGGCAAAAACCTAAAACAAACAAAAAAACCTGACCATCCTGGATATTATCATAAACCCAATATAATATTAAAATACATAATTATTAAAATTACATCATTATTTCTCTGCCCTAAAAAAGTGTAGAGAAGTTACTTCCTCACCCATCATTAGACTATAAGGTCCACAAGGAAAAGGATCGCTTTCTGTCCTGTTGGCTACTTTAAATCGAGCACGCAGGGCAGCGTCTGGGTCATAGCAGGTGCTTGGTGGACGTCTGCTTACCGAGGTAACGGGTGCATCGCTGCCCTTGGAGACAGGACCATTCCCTTCACCCATGCCTTCCTCAGTGGGTGGACAAAGCAGCTGCTGTCCTCGCTGGCCACTGTTCTGTGGGTATGATTCCTGTCCTGGGTGGGGGGGTCAGAGCTGTCACTATGTTGGTGGCTGTGGGTTAAACTCTGCCTGTCTGCTGCTTACAGCGTGAATGGTTCTTTCCAAGATGTTCATAAAGGAGACGTGGAAGGGAAGGCTGAGTCAAGAGCCAGTGTGGTGTTGCTGCCGCGGGGACATTTTCACTTGCCTTGTGCACTGGCCCCTCCCAGGAAATGCTCTGATGGGTGCAGGGTGGGGGCAGGAAGGGCGTGTGCTGGGTGTGCAGGTTGCCACAGCCGAGCCTTCCCCTCAGGTCCAAGAGGAAGTGTGTGGTATGTCGTGAGGATGCAGGCTGTCCCCAGTAGGGGCTCCGGTGGCCCCTGGTTTCCCTTCCAAGCTTCGAAGCTCTGCCTCTGTTGAATGACAGAGCCCAGAGCACAGCAGCGTGGTTGCAGTGTGTGGTGTGACTTGCAGCGGAGAAGGCTGGCCGGTGGAAAGGTCTTGTCTAATTCTCATGGTCTACTAATGTCTTCTGGGAGGTGCCCTGCAGGGTGGTTTTGGTTTTTGACTTCCTGTCCCAGGAGATCTGGAGGAGGAGGGAGACAAACTTTTCCACTGGGAAATTAAGAGGTACAAACACCTTCACTTCGAGCACAATGGTATTAACAGTTGCCTTGTCAGCTGCGAAGTAATTCGGATAGTCCAGAAGAGGTTAATTTAATGAGCTATGAATTCATGGTCCTTGTCTTCATCGTGTTCTCTGGCTCACTTCGTTCTGTCCCTCCTCCGTCCTTCCCTCCCCCACTGTCTGTGTCTGTGTCTCTGTCTCTGTCGTGCACACACACAGACGCTGTTCCATCTTTAGAAGTAATCATACCGGGAACCAGCAGTTAGCGTAATGGCTATGTTGCTGGCCTCCCACGTAGTCGACCGCGGTTCACGTCCCGGACCCGGTGGCTTAAAACTCAATGCCGGGCGCGTGTGCATGCGTGC